TATATACTGTACCAGTGATCGATTTGCAGATGAGGTTATAATGCGCACAGCAAATATCTTTTAACAAGGTTTATTGAAAGAAAAAGAGGTTAATCGCTTCAAGCATTATATCTTCTCCTTAATGAACCAAGAAAAATATTAATTTATTACATTTATATTTTTCTTGGCTCATTAAGAAGAACATATCATGCTTATATATTTATATATTTATAAAATGCCCTCTCCCATGGCAGACATTCACTGAAATATTAATAAAACATATACAGATTCTGACTACTTAGCCTAATAAGGGACAGAGATAATGTCAATCAACCCCATGAGAAGGAGTTTTGAGTTATCCCGAACGTTGTTTTCTGTCTTTTTATCAACTGGTTCAACGGCCACGGCCAGCCTGCACATAAGTATGCCAAAAACATTCCCGCTTCAGTAGATTAGAGATCCCGCCAGAGCTGCGACATGGTTAAGACATCGGTTATTCAGCAATTAAATAGGACACTTGCAACCGGTAATTGAATAACAGCAAGAAAACTTACCCAAAATATCCCAGAGCGAGCGTGCCTCTTAAACAAACAGCAAAAGGGAGAGAGAGCGAAAGAGGTAAACGAAGTGCTGCATTTGCCATGGCGTTGAAATGTGACAAAAATGGAATATCAGTGTTATTAATATTAGTTACAGTTGGCAAATAATTGCATTAGACAAATACATTAAATTTTAATTCATTATAAATACTGATGTTTACCATATCGCATGGAAGCAGAAACAGAAATATTTCAGATTAATTATAAGAGTTGAAATTTAATGCCCTCGTTATAAGAGTGTAGGGTGGGGCAAGTCGAGTGTATCGGATACACTTCAAGCGTGGCAGCAGTTAAAGGAAAAGGAGAGAACTGCTTTAATGTCAGAATGAAGCAATCGGATCTTTGAGCTATATGTGAGTTTAACTTGAAATATGTCGTGCTTTAGGCATTAGTTGTAAAAAAATCGCGTTAGTTGTAAAAAATAAAAACGGGGGAATTACGAGATGACCTGCGGAGGCTCATAATGGGAAAAGATGGTTACGGTGCTTACCAAGAAAAAAAACGAATTCGCGTAATGGAGGGAAGAGAAACTTTTTATTTGTCTCTACATGAGAAATAACAAAAACTCCACCAAATTCGGTTACGATGGAGTATTTCCCACCACCATTCTGAATTATCTGAATAATTCGCCTATATTAAAGAAACTGATAATGCTAATAACGTTGCTTAGCGGGAGTAAATCCATTTAATCATATTCAGTATCAAGTAGTAGTTTTTTTTTTTTTTTTTTTTTTTTTTTACAAATCAACCGTAATCTTCGTAATTAGATACAAGATATATGTGCAATGTGCAAATGTTCATCTTAAATAAGTGCATCATTCAAATCTCACCATGAGAAAGGTGAAAGGAAGTTCACAAGGGTTCTGCAGTATTTACCATATTGCACGCAGTTTTCTTCATCTCGATTTTTTGCCGGGCGTGCGCGCGATCCGCTCGAGTTTCACATAGGCGTTTACATAGAATGAGTAAGCAGCGGGCAGCCTGACCTGTAATATATGTTTCCTATACCCCTCCCTGAGAGAGAGTCAAGGCTATAAATAAAGCAGCGGCCGACTCGGGGAAGTGAGCGCGACGTTGATTGTCCCGCCTATGGTAAGAAGCTACGTGCAGTTTTCAAGTTCCAGGCAGGCCATTATTGGCATGACTCGGTTGGATTGAATTTATATCGTGCAAGAAACGCCTTGGTGCAGTTGTGGTTTATCACTCGTGGTCCATCGGTTGGACTTCTCCATCCCGGGCAAAGGATTAACCCAAGGTGCTTACTTCAATTATCTTGAAAGATGGAGATGGCACAGATTATATTGTTCTTTACTGTGACTGTGGCAGTTGCAATGGCTCAGGTGGGTTTTGACGATTTTGTTTTGTAACAAAAAACAACAGTTGTAAAAGGTCAGTTGATTTACCGATTGCATCTTTTGATATTTCTGTGCCAAAGCACATTTTATTATGATTGCATACGACATCTTTTTTTATGGAATGGTTGCAATCAAATTAAACCAAAAGTAAACCCAACAGAATTAAATGAAAAGTAAACCAGATAAAAAAAAAGAATGCGATAGTAATTGGGTCAAAATCCCACGCATTTAAATGCTGCGCAGAAATACCTGGAACGCCATGCCAAGGGTGTCGGCTCTGTGACTGCATGGGGTATCCGTTGTTGATCGGCATGCGTTTTTGCACCATTACGATCGAAGCTGCAAAAACAAAAGCATATTTGTTCTGACAGAACGGTTAACACCATCTCCACATGGGAGCATAAATCTTGCATAATGTGTCCGTGTGTTGAACCGGTGGCACGAGGCTGAGTGGACAAAAGTTCTAACAGGTGCTGACCACCAATGACCAACATGAGGCTGTTTCTCGACCGTTCATAAAATTCCATTTTTTTCCCGCCGCGTGATAAGATCCAGTGGCCAATGGAAGATCCAAAGAAAGACACATTCAAACCATTAAGAAAAAAAAAACATTGTGGTTTTTCCCTAAAAATATTGGATTTCTGCTTTCCCCATGAATTTTACTGAAAAATGGATTTTAAAAAAAGAGGTTGCAAAATAATCTATCTGCTTAAAAATGTAAAGCACTCACCAACTAGTTGTGGTCTTTATTATTTCCCTTATTGACATAGTGGGAAATTCAATTTGAAAAATACCGCAGAGAGGAGCTCTCGAGTTATTTGATATATTTTCAAGTGGTTCCCCAGACATGTCAGCTGCTGTTCCTAGCAAAACATTAATAATCCGATATATTAGCTGGCCTCAAGCAAAGGTCTCTGTTAATACATTCATATATCTGGGACAATCAAGCTACAAACTTCAAAAAATATTTAAAAATTCCGTTTTTTGTTGAAAACTATGCCTGGCATATCGTTTTAATATGCCAGTTCTCAGTAATAATTACTAAAAAAAACGTAAAAAAAACTAGTAGATGTTCGGGTTCTTTAAAATATAGTTAGGGGCTGGCCGCTTACATGTACGTACTATACGAAACTTTGGTAAAACCCGCGGTTTGAAATAATGGTAAAAGGTAGAATGGCGAACAAGTTTCATAAGTGGACGGACAGACAAATGGAGAGAAGGGGGCGCGTGTGTGGTTAATTAAGCTGGTGGGCGAGCTGAAAAACGCACGGACAGAGAGGAGAAATGTTTGAAACACAACTTTTGGTTGCAAAAATATAGGTTATATAAAAACTACGGTGACTAATGCTGTAAGTCGGCTGACGAGTAAATAAATGAGACACCTTGTTGGTAATGTGTCTATAGTGATTGTAATTTAGATTAAAAATCACTATAGACACATTATCTAAACGTTCAAATGAGCCGATCGACTGTGTGCTTTAGTGGAAGCCTTATATGAATCACTTCTTGGTTACTGTTGGGCGTGGCCCCAGGTAACCGTGTTAACTCCTAGTTGTTTACATCAATAACGCACTAGAACTCTTCCTAAAGTTCTGACATTTTGGTCTTCTGACGCAAATGCGTCTACCTTTCTGATGATAAATATCTCTGTTGCATCATCGATGATGTTCAGACTGATACCCTGATGCGTGAAACAAGAGCGTTCATCTAACTGCCAGGTGTTCAAAAGTGATAAATAAGTTGTTCTTACTAATCTTGTTGCATAGTGGAGGTGGAGTTTTTGTCTACCGAGTGACAAGTCCAACAGATTCTGGACAAAAAATTGTTCCTCTGTTTAGTGAGGGAGGGGGCGTTCCTTGGGTATTCAAATGTAATATGAGAGTTTTTTCACTTCATGCTTTTCACCGACTTTTGCTGTTTGAAATCTCTCTCTCTCTCTCTCTCTCTCTCTCTCTCTCTCTCTGAATATTTGTAAACCATGGGTATGCCCAGCAGTGAGTCCGAAAACAGTTAAAACTCCATACCACAAACAGTATTTTTTCAGAAGCCCCTTTATCTCAGATCACAAATTAATGAAATGCTAATAGGATCCGAATCATTACAGCAGCAACGAAGCAAGTTAAATTGAATGAACGAGCCTTGTTCAGAAAGTTATAAATCTCTAGAGTCTATAGTTTTATCTGATAATGGTTTTGTGTTCAGTAATGGACCGTGACATTGCTCCTGCGCCAATCTTGAATGCAAAATTGTGTTCTACGTTCGTCCCTATTCCATAATTGCTTTAGTTGAGCATGCTCAAGAAAGCCATGAATCTCAACATGTTATCTGATTGTTCATGTTTGTTCTCTTTTAGAATGCCTCAACACCTAGACCTAAGTTTATTGTGACAACAGTATTGGTAGGTAGATATGAATATGATTCCCGCTAACTTTTTAAAGTAAAAAAATCAGATCTGAAACGGGAACGCTTTTTATAACCAACAGACGAAGCTGACTTGACGAAGAATAAAAACTTGAGTTTAGCTGTTTATTGAAGAAACTGTCTTTGTAATTCTTCAAATTTGCCCAAAGAAAGATTCAGTTGCAATCTGAAAAATTGCCAACTTAATAATAATTTTATCTTTTCTTCCCTTAGAACAAGCCATTTATGATGAAGAAGTGGCAGATTTTCGATTACGACTCCGAAAATGATCGATACTACGGCTTTGTCAAGGACATACTAGAGAAAGTGTCAAAGTTAGTGAATTTCGACTACGAAATCAAAGAAGTAGATGACGGTTATTATGGCACCTTGGTCAACGTGACAGCCGGGGAATGGAATGGAATGATGAAAGAAATAATAGATGGGGTAAAGGGATTTATTCAATTATTAGGAATAGTTGTTGATTTGTTAACTGCGACATTTGCATGAGCGATAGTTAAATGATTGATGAAAATAAAAAGGAGCTTAGTTTTCAGCTGGCAAGCCTAGATGTAATGTTTTACTGAAGTACACTTAAGGGAATACAGAAAGTAACAGCTCCTTTTTTCTTGTTTTTAAGACGGCCGACATAGCAGTTGGGGATATTTCAATAACAAGTACAAGATCAAGATATGTCGGATTCTCTAAACCTTTTATCAACTTTGGCCTGGTGGCTCTGCTGAAGAAGGCCAGGTTTACTCCATGGGAAGAAGTAACGCGCCTTTTCAGCCTCCTCCACCCTTTTTCCGCGGAAGTATGGGTGCTTGTGCTCGTGGCCTTCCTTGTCGTCAGTGTGGGGTTTATTATCATCGACAGAGTGAATCCTTATGAATGGAGGAAAGCAGCCGACGATGGTCGAGCTAGTCAGGGAGATAAGAGTAATCTTGGTGTTGGAAACAGCTTATTCCTTGCCTTTAGTGGATTGATGTGGCAAGGTAAGAGTCCTTAGATCGATTAAGAAGCTGTGTGTGTGTGTGTGTGTGTGTGTGTGTGTGTGTGTGTGTTTTTCCCCTGGAATTGCACTTATATAAAAACAGAATGTCGGTATCTGTTGATCAGCACTTACCACACCTGTCAATACTTTTTGCCAAAACTGTAATATTATTTTCTGTATATTTTCAGGGTATTCCAGCCCACCTCGTTCTATTGCTGGCCGTACATTGGCTTGTTTCTGGTGGATTTTTGTAGTTTTCATGCTGATATGTTACACGGCCAGTCTCACGGTACTGTTCCTTCGGCCAAAGCAAGATCTTCAACCAGAACTCCCCATAGGCAATGTTGCCGAGCTTGACAAGTTTCCCGACAAGTTCACCATTGGTGTTCTTGACCACGGTTCCACGCAAGCCTTCTTCAGAACCAGCAGGATTCAACAGTATGTAGATATCTATTCTAGGATGCTAAAAACTCAAAACGAATCGTTTGTAAAATCCATCGACGAAGGTGTGGAGAAAGTTCGTAATTCCGATGGCTCATTCGTGATGGTAATGGAATCGACAACAGCCAATTATATCGCCAACAGTAAGCCATGTGACCTGAGGGCGCTGCAGGAGCCAATCACAAGTATGGGCTACGGCTTCGTAACAAAGAAAGGTGTTCCGGTTTTAAACGAAATCAACCGCGCTATTCTGCGAATGCAAGAAAGTGGAGAACTGTTCTTGCTTACTAAAGCTTGGTTCGCAGACAAGTGTTCAAACGAGAAAGACGCAGAGGTTACTTCGTCAAATGAAGGATTTGTCGCTGTTCGTCTCATAGATGTTGCTGCCCCGTTTGTCTCTTTATTAATTGGACTGTTTCTAGTCATCCTTATTGTCATAGGAGAGATTTTATATTACAAATTTCGAGGAGAGGTAGGGCAGTAACGAATTTAATATCTGTTGTTAAATATATTAGTTAACTTCTTCGGAAAATAATTAATCAGAAAATCGGAAAATAATTACTGCTATTTTGTTATATAGTTTGGAAGGCCGTTGTTTTTAATGCTCTGTAAGAAAATGATAAATCAATTTTTCGCTTGTGCGTTTTTATGTAAAAACTTGGTCAAGTTTTTTTTAAATATCCCACCTACCCACGGGAAATATATTGTACATTTTCCTTTTTTTTTTGGGGGGGGGGGGGTTAGACCAGTCATTTTAAGCTTGTGGTATTTGTTATATTTCAACAGGTAGGCTTGTGCTGTTTATATAAGGCCTTAAAAGAAATATTAAAGGCAGCAAAAATTTCAATTAAACACCAGACTTTTTTTAGTTTTATTCGTAAATATTTTGCAGAGAGAAATTTGGACTCCGACTTCCAATGAAGGCGACATGCAGATGCAGCAAGGGAAAAATTCGGCGGCCATACGGGATAGTTTGTAAACATCTGTATCGCAGTTCAGGTTTTGATAGAATAGTCTTGGAAGTTATAAGTTTTCTTTGAAGCGAACTGTTTTTTCTAAAAAGCGATTGCTTATTTGCGTGGGGATTGTGGAGAGTCACTTACAGCGATTATTGTAGCACCTTTACTTTAAGATTCTTCTATACGATGAAGAAATACGACGTGTGTACAATACTCAAGAATCCAGATTCATATTGATATTCGGGATGTTCCTTTGAAATTCAGTAGGTTTCACCTGACTAATGCCCTATAAAAAGAAAGCGTGATATCTGTGTGGAAAAACAAAAGTGACAAAATTCGATTTCAAAAGAAAATATAACTGTACTGTTGAAAGTTTTATTTTTTCTTTTTTTTCTTCTTCTTCTTCTTCTTGTTACTATTATTATTCTTTTTGTATGAATCTCTCTTTAACTTTTGCCGTTTTTAGACATTTTTCATTCAATATTAATGTTTTAATGTCATAAAACTGTGCACTAACGTATCGCTAACGTATCACTGAATCTCTCGGTGCACCCATAGGAAGGGGATTGGAAAGAACCGCTTTTTTTGGCCGGGGAAGGTTTTCCATGAATCAAATTTATATCTAGATATGTTAGATATGCCATTTCTCATGTTAGGTAAACTAAAGAAGCGAAAAGGTTCATGATTTCATGATGCCCCCCTCCAAAAAAAAGCCTGCTAAAAATGTACTAAAAATAAGCGTGGGCTTAGTGCTTTAAAGTATAGTTTTAGGGTAGTACGGTTATATTTCTCATACAGTTCTTTCAAGTGCAAACAAAAGTGCACGATAGACCGCTTAAATAATCAAGACTGTAGAAAATGGATCGCAATCCGTTTTCCCTGAGAACTTGTTAACTCATTAAAGATTAGAACCGACTAGTTTATTTTTGTGTGTTAACAATAGACTACGGTTTATTTCCATAAATGTAGGCCTTATTGTTCTTGTAACTTTTTTGTATGTTATCTAATAAATAGTTGATGTAATTTTTTCATTTTCCTTTTGAAATTGTATCAAGTTGTTGTAATTTTATTATTAACAGCGCTTGCATGTAAATTCAATCCGATAATTTACTGTACTTATCGAACTTTTGAAAAAGTTGCCTTTATATACCAGGAGGAGTCTTTTAAGGAAACATTCACCTGAGTCAGCCTCTCTTTTCAGCCGAGATGAATTATTTTTGAACATGCTAATATTCAACAGTGCTTTATCTTACTTTAAGCTTTTATTTAAAAGCCTGCTAATACAAATGACTTATAACGGTGATTTATGATACTAAATGCGCATAAAACACTGAAAATACAATAAATAAATATTCTTAAGGCGTGGCCTGTTTCATGTTGGATAAATGGTCCGTTTTTGGATAATACACTCTCCTTTTATATATGTCTGCTGTCATTTCACTGTTCTTTTTATTAATAGAGGTCTTTTCCAATATTACCATGGTTTATGCTTTTGTAGTCTTTACGTGGAAGGCAGGTGTTTCTTCGGGTAAAGTTGCTAGAAGTGACATTAATGTCGGTGCGTACTGTTGGTACAGTTCCTTTAGTTCTTGCTTCTGGCGTTCGTATCTCAGTTTTTGAATATTTCTCGCCAAGGCCGTAGCATTTAATCCTTTTGGTAATTTCGGTAGCTTAAATGCCTTATTAAAAGGAATGAAATCAGGATCTGTCTCTGCCGTTGGTATGTTCCCTAAAGAGCGAGTCAGTCTTTTCGAAATTTTTTTCGTCTGCTCCTGAGAATATTGTGCCATCCTGTTTGACGTATTCTTCGACTCATTCTTGAATTTTTGAAGATTGTTTTCCCCCGTCGAATATATCTCATGCATTGACTGTGTCTTTGTCAGTGAATCGTTTGGGTTCAATGTTTTTAAATCATTTCGTGAGACAGATCCCTTCTCTGCTAAAAGCATCAGTGACTGTCCTCTGTCCAGACTAGACGAAAGCGAAATGTTTGGTAAGCTCTGTGTCAGGTCAAAATTTCCACGAAAAGCAGCAAATGTTTTATTTCTTGTGATTCGCGGAAATGCCATAGTATCCATCTCTATTTTATGTTGTAAAGAGTGCTGTTCTGTGGTGGGTAGATAAGGTAAAATACCTAACAAATTTCCATGGGTTGACCCTGTGGCGTTGGGCGACCGGGCGACATTAAAGCCGTGTTCTCTTAAAAACCGTCGATGGACGCGAGGCAGGACAGGGGTTGCTATTTTCCCATAAACTTCATTTTCCCGAGGGGCGAGGCGAGTTTCGTCACTGTCATTATTATTATCGGTAACTCTGCCCCTTGGCGACTTTTCTTCAGGTTCGTGAAGAGGTGCAGTGCACCCTTCCAGATTAAAAAGAGTGTCGTCTGCCAAGGAACGCACCCTGTACCTAATCATCTTTGCATGAGCTGCCTCCTTGGCTTCTTTCGTCAAAAGATTCTCGTGTCCCTTTCTCAAAGTTGCAGCCATTTTCTTTTCCTCTTCCAGGACCTCCATTGGCCCTATAGTGGTTTTCTTTCCAGTCTGTTTGTCAGTCTCAATCCTTGGGTCCACCATGGCAAGAACCACAGAGACAGGTTTGAGGGTTCCTTGATCGACGTCGCTTGCCATTCTTGTATATCAGAGTCCTGTCATAAAAATTGACGCATTTGAACTACCGTGCCGCAAACACTGCCAGTATCAATAATATACGCCGAACAACTTGGTAAGAATTCGGCGCGTGTAATATCAATGCAATACAGTGTGTTGCTAACCCAGGAGTGTTGAAATAGTCTGGACTAAAATAGAGCCTTTGTATTGAAATTCACGGCCTCTTAGTGTTGATAAAATAGCGTAAGTTCTCCTTTTATAACTTAACAGCTACATTTATTCTGGCTTTGATACCTTTGTAAAGATTCCATTGTTGCATCACATAATAGAAACCGGAGAAAGTTCAAACGGTTGCCTTGTAATAATAACATAAAATTGTTTAAATATCACTGGAAATGTTTGAATAGTATATTTGCACGCATGAGGGATGTCTAATTCAACATATTGTTCGCAAAACACAAGCGACAACTGAGGACACTTACGAAAGATACGATATTGATTTCTGTAGGAATTAAATTAGAGGAGTCCCCATAAAGTTTAAGACGCATTTTACAGGTTTCAATAAAAGATCTACTCAAACTTCTGGTGTAGGAAACTAAGATTGTGAGCTTTCTGAATTTTGTAGTTAATGACCAACATTTCTGCTTTTATATAGCTTATCATTAAAATATTCAAGAAATGTGAAATGTTTAAAAAGGGTACTCAAAAGCGGTGTATTTCCTTTCGTTGGATTGGAGAGGATATTGTTCAGGTAGGGAGGGGGGGCGAGCAGGTGGTACAGGGGCGGGGGGGGGGTGTCCTTGAATCATTTTATACTATGGGTTACTCCCTTTTCATGGCAAAAAGACAAAAATAACTATGCGTGGTCCTCAATATTGGAACACCATTGTATTGAACACACGATTCTCAGGTTAACTCAAGCACACTCGATAAAGAAACTATATCCTTAACGTTAAGCTTATTGTTGTGCTTTAAGGATATTAACGCCCCTACGCAAAGCTAATCATCAATTATTTTCAGAAAATGCACATAAGGGATTATCACATGAAGACCTAGACTCCGCTTTGTATTGTCATGTTTTGGACATTTTTGGTCCTTGAGACCATTCTGTCTCTTTATAGCACTTTACAACAGACCCAACCGCCAATTTTCTCTAGATTTGAAGATTTAAGGAATAAAATGATCAATAAAAATTAGGAAGATGCGGCCATTTTTCTTTTTAGGTCGTGGATGCATACTAATAGAACTTGATGTTTTTTTTTCAAGTTACATTAAATTCTTTTATGGCCTTTTTCATCCAAGTGTATTGTTGGAATAAGATTAATTTACCTCTGCAAGCATATTAATAAGAAACACTGTACCCGCATTGGCTGTGTTCCCAGTTTTGTATCAGGATGTCAACGCCTACTCACCTGTAGGTCATGTGTCACCTGTCGTGGGAAGATGTTCCCACTATGACCTTAATATAAATCCTATCACGAATTACCTGTCACACAGTTATTTTTAAATAAAATAAAATCATTCCAAACAGGTAGCGCATAAAATCCCTTTTAGATTTTGATGACTGTTATATTTAAGATCTTCTTCATAAATAATGCATCAGGTATTCCGAGAAAATACTTAACTCAAACACGTCCATTAATGAATCCTGGATTACAGCGTTGGGGTGGGGATGATTTCAACCCAACCATCTACAGTTAGGGGCAATATTTTCAGAAGCTGGTTGCCTATTTCGCCATTGCACAACTCCGTTAGATTCTACATACTATGGGAATTGCTGTCCTCTTCTTAATAAATTAGTTTTCCTATTTTTACTTCCACCAAGGAGGTTATGATTTTGGTCCCGCTTGTCTGTTAGCAAAATTACGGGAAAAGATGTAAATAGTTTTTGATAACATTTTCAGAAACTGTCGGGAAGGTACAAAGTACCGAACAGTAGTATTTTGGCGATTAATTAGTTAATCAATTACTTACATTTGTTTGTCTGTTAGCAACAATATTTTAAGTTATGGAGAGATTTTGTGAAATTTCCAGGATAGGTCAGAATGAACAAAATTTTGGATGCGATTAATTAATAATTTAATTAAGAATTTCTGATAGGAAAACGGAAACGGTTGTTTAATTCCTGTGCTAATTGCTTTCCTATTCTTATTTCACCAGTGTTCCTATTTTTAATAACATTTCACTGCTTCCATTTACATTTTCAATTTAGTGTTGGTTTTGTTTAGATATATTATTAGAATTCGGATTGGAAGGAATTTTTGTAGTTGTGAAAAAAAGAACATATTCCTTCCTAAAGGTAATATACAGTATGTTTTAAACATACTCATCCCAGCATTGAAATTCTCCACCAATGTGTATTATAGAATTTATTGCTTTACCAAAAAATATTACAGTAACTGATTAAAATAAAATGGGGTCCTAAAAATTAAAGGAAGACAGACTGAAATTAAGAAAGAGAAGTCACTTGTGTGTGTGCGTGCGTGTGTGCGTGGGTGTGTTTGTGTGAAGAGGGTGGGGATGGTTTCTCGACATATCAATAGGCAACTCGATCCCACCTCTACTCTGCCTATTGCATTGTGAGGAGCACTATCACAATAGGCCTACCAAGAAAGACTGGAGTATGACGACGCTCTGCATCCTGGTTTTTTCCAAATTTAATTCAATCCACATTTCCCCTAAGACTTGATTTGACGAACCGAAAATGACGCAGACTCATAGATCTGGGTTACAACAGTATATAAAAACTGAGGTCGATACGGCTTCATCAGTATAGGAGTTTCATGCACTGTTTTCAACGCATCAAAATGTGGAAGGCACTGTTTGTATTGTCATTGTTATTTGTTGAGGCTTCATTAGGTAAGTTCCCAATCGATGCTTTCCTTTGAAAAATTAATTTTATCTGTACGAAAAATATTTTTAAAATAGAGGGACCAAATGCCCTTTAGCCGAATCAAAGTCAGATATCAATTTTGATGTCAAGTTGAAGGTCGGAAGCTTACACGTACATATAAGTCAGGAATCTAAATCTTATTTTAAAATACTGGAAAAGCACTCAGAGAGCGCAGACCTCTGCCAAGTCTCCATCCAATGCCGTTTCACCCCTAAATTTTGGATATTTTTGATTATTCATTATTGATTGATTATTGATCCGGATCACCACCAAAAACTAATCATTTGTTCCTTGGCCCACTTCTGACAGTTTCTGAAAATTTCATCAAAATCGGTCCATAACTTAGTTTTTTTATTATTGATTATTGATAAATTATTGATCCGGATCACCACCAAAAACTTATTATATCTTCCTTGGCCCAGTTCTGATAGTTCCTGAAAATTTCATCAAAATCGGTCCATAACTTTTTGAGTTATGCTGATGACAGACAGACAGAAAGACAGACAGACAAACAGGGGTGAAAACATAACCTCCTTGGCGGAGGTAACTATAATAATGATATTCTCATCCCATGAATGGGAATTGTAAAATTTAGTTTCAGATTTTTGAGAGCAATTTCGAAAAAAAGTCTTGAGATTTGAGAGATTTACCTAACTTTTCAAACAATCATTTCAGGTCTTACGGGGTTCCGCAGTGAACAAGCTGTTGCAGATGCATTTCAAAGAGGATTTTTATCAAAGTTTTTACCAACAACAACCACATCGCGATCTGGCTGCCTTGGGCTCTTCTGCAATTCCGGTAGTAAAGTGGGCAGGAATGGTGGCGCTGTACCCAAGATAGACCTGATATTTGTCCTCGACAGCAGCGGTAGTGTTCGACAACAAAACTTCACCGTTGGCAAAGACATGATGAAGGTGAGTTCAATTTGCAGTTAGAATTGAAACATAATACGGAGGAATTTAGGTGACTGCGAAATAAATTGTCACTTGATTTAGATTAGATGCAATTAAAATCTTTACATTGGACTGGGATTGACTTGTTGCGTGCGGAAGCGGTTACAGGCTCCTTTCATCCGCATATGGATACGAATGGTGCATGGTTAGCATGTGTTGATACACGTAGGCTGTCCTTAGTTATGCTGTTGAGAATGATTGGCTTTCAATACCGGCGTTTGTGTTCAGAATGTAATGCAATATAAAACAGGATTCCACTTCCCCAACGGCAAAATTTTGTTTCAAAAAAAGAAAAAAAGGCTCGAGGCAGTAACGAACGAACGACAAAAATAGGTCTATATATGTTTCTTCTCTTAGATTTAAATTTCTTTAAAGAACAGCCTATCCTTTTATTTTATAATTATCATAATTATTTTTTATTCCATTTCCAGGAAATCGTAGACTTTGTGGACCAACAGGCACCAATCTCTAGTACAGGATCAAGAATTGCCTGTGTGAGCTTTTCTTCCCCTGCCCTTACCCGTACCCATTTCACCTTCACGGCCAATAGCAATCCTGCAGCTGTGAAGACGGCAATCGACGGCATCAAATTTGACAACGGTATGTGTGCCATAAGTAAAGAAGGATCTTACCCCTGGGGGAGGGGGGGGGGGGCAGATATTTCTTTATGTTGCTGAGTGTTTTATTTCAGTCGTTTTTCTCAGCCGGACGTCACTTGTTTCGCTGTTTTAGCAAAAGTCGTTCTTTTTGCAAAGCAATGCTACCAACATTCTCAACTTGAACGTCATAACAGCTGCGCTCAGCACAGCTAATGCATTTCACTGGTTGGGTTGAAATCATCCCCACCCCAACGCTGTAATCCAGGATTCATTAATGGACGTGTTTGAGTTAAGTATTTTCTCGGAATACCTGATGCATTATTTATGAAGAAGATCTTAAATATAACAGTCATCAAAATCTAAAAGGGATTTTATGCGCTACCTGTTTACCTACCGGCCAATAGCAATCCTGCAGCTGTGAAGACGGCAATCGACGGCATCAAATTTGACAACGGTATGTGTGCCATAAGTAAAGAAGGATCTTACCCCTGGGGGAGGGGGGGGGGGGCAGATATTTCTTTATGTTGCTGAGTGTTTTATTTCAGTCGTTTTTCTCAGCCGGACGTCACTTGTTTCGCTGTTTTAGCAAAAGTCGTTCTTTTTGCAAAGCAATGCTACCAACATTCTCAACTTGAACGTCATAACAGCTGCGCTCAGCACAGCTAATGCATTTCACTTCCGAAAACTTTTGTCCCTAATCCTAAAGTGCAGACTCGTTATTTATCCTTTTTTTCTTCTTATGTTTCAATAGGTCCAAGTACAGCAACGGGCGTGGGTCTTGAAAAAGCTAAAACCGTCTTGGATGCTGCTTCGGGTGCTGGACGCGTGCGTTTATTGTGGATACTGACAGATGGCAATAAAAATAGCGGGAAAGATCCCGTTCCAGTGACAAACGTGCTTAAGGCTAATGGTAAGATTTATAGGTCAGATTGGCTCGTGGAAAGGGGGGTGATCGAGTTTACCAATATTCCTTATCCCCTTTTAAAATTAATTCGTTCTGTTTTCGACAATTTTGCATATTTTGTATGGAGTGTTTTAAAGATATCTAAATCTTAATGTACAAAAACTAAATTGATACAAAATTTTATTTTATTATATTAGGTGTAGAGATATTTGCCAGTACTATCGGCCCTAGGGTAAATCTCGCGAGCATCGAGGCCTTGGTTTCGCCTCCAATTCCCGACCACATATTCGAAGCCCAGTCCTTCGCTGCTGCTAGAAGAATTGCCAACAGGGCCTTCACTAGTTTTAGGAGCGCACATGGGCTTTCCTCGCCTACACAGGCACCACTGACATTACCACCAAATTTCTTTCGCAACTTATTGTTGAACAGGCTCAGAAACATTGGAAAATAAGCGTACTAGTCCGAACGTAAATGGTCTAAATCCAATACTTATGTTTTGTTATGAACTTTAAAGCATACAGTATAGTACAAAGTTAAGTAGACTTTACATAAAAACAAGTACATAAGAACACAATATAATCAGAATATATCAGTCGAAAATAATCTTGAAAAGGATGAAGATTCAAGATAGAAACTGCTTATTTCTAACATAAAATCAATAACAAGTAAGATAATCAATCATAAAATTCCCTGAAGATATATGTTGTAACTCCATTTTAAAGTTATCAGTTGATTCAATTGGTAGCATATTTCATTCCACTGAAAGCTGACTTTAAAAAACATGTCCACGTAAGTTTTAAGACGCATTTTACAGGTTTTAATAGAAGTTAATCTACTGAAATTTCTGGCAGAAAACTAAGAGTCTGAGTGAGCTTTCTGAATCTAGTAATCAATGGCCAACATTTCTGTTTTTATATAGATTATCAGTTAAATATTCAAGAAATGTAAAATGTTTAAAAAAGGGTCTCAAAAGCAATGTATTTTCTTTTGTTGGATCGGGGGAGGATATTGTTCAGGGAGGGGGGATGGTGGTACGGGGGCGGGGAGGGCGGTGTCCTTGAATCACAAAATACTTAGGGTAACTCCTTTTTCAGGACAAAAAAGCAAAAATAAATATTGGCAATCCTCAATTCTTGGCCATCATTGTACTGAACACACGATTCACAGGTAAACCCAACCGCACTCGATAAAGGAACTGTATCCTTAACGTTAAGCTTATTGTTGTGCTTTAAGGATATTAACGCCCACACGCAAATCTAATCATTTGTTATTTTGAGAAAATACATATAATGAATTATTACATGAAGACCTAGGCTCATTCATGTTTTGGACATTTTTGGCTCTTGAGACCAGGACAGGCATCACCGAGTTTCATTATAGCACGTAAATTTAAAAAAGGGATAACAAGACCAGTATGATGCAGTGTTTTAAGCGCATCACAATGTGGAAGACACTGTTTGTAGTAACTATATTATTTATGGCGATTTCATTCAGCAAGTTCCCTACCGATACTCAGAATTACTGTGAAAATAAATTTCATTGCTGAAAAAACTTAGAAAAAAGGGCAACTTTTCTCTCATATGAGACTCCGGACTTCCATTCCTAGGACTACCATCCCTGTCACACTGGAACATTCATTTTCGCACTGCCAACAGGGCTCGCAGTAATACTAGGAGCAATAAACATAAAAGACCAAACCCACAGACCCAACCGCCTATTTTCTCTAGATTTGAAGATTTAAGGAATAAAATGATCAATAAAAATCAGGAAGTTTTTTTTGTTTTGTTTTGTTTTAGAGCGTGGATGCATACTTATAGAACCTGATGTTTTTTTTCAAGTTACATTAAATTCTTTTATGACCTTTTTCATTCAAGTGTATTGTTGGAATAAGATTATTTTACCTCTGCAAGCATATTAATAAGAAACACTGTATCCGCATTGGCTGTGTTCCCAGTTTTGTATCAGGATGTCAACGCCTACTCGCCTGTAGGTCATGTGTCACCTGTCGTGGGAAGATGTTCCATGACCTAAATATAAGTCCTATTACGAATTACCTGTCTCACAGTTATTTTAAAAATTATTCTAAACAGGTAGCGCACGACGATCCCTTTCTGACCAACAAGTGGTCAGAGAGAATCACATAGGGTCATTATTTAGCCACGAAACAAGGAAACAATGACTGCTATATTTAAGATCTTATTCATAAATAATGCATCAAGTATTCCGAGAAAATACGTAACACAAACACATCCATTAATGAATCCTGGATTACAGCGTTGGGGTGGGGATGATTTTAACCCAACCATCTACAATTAGGGGCAATATTTTCCGAAGCTGGTTGCCTATTTCGCCATTGCACCAACTGTCGGGAAGGTACAAAGTACCGAACAGTAATATTTTGGCGATTAATTAGTTAATCAATTAATTATATTTGCTTGTCTGTTAGCAACAATATGTAAAGTTATGGAGAGATTTTGTTAAATTTCCAGGATAGGTCAGAATGAACTAGTTTTTGGATGCGATTAATTAATAATTTAATTAAGAATTTCTGATAGGAAAACGGGAAGGGTGAGTACGGTTGTTTCATTCCTGTGCTAATTGCTTTCCTATTCTTATTTCACCAGTGTTCCTATTTTTAATAACATTTCACTGTTGTGCCAGTTTTTGTCAATTTAGAGCTTCCATTTACATTTTCAATTTAGTGTTGGTTTTGTTTAGATAGATTATTAGAATTCGGATTGGAAGGAATTTGTGTAGTTGTGAAAAAAAAGAACATATTCTTTCCTAAAGGTAATATACAGTATGTTTTAAACTTACCCATCTCAGTATTGAAATTCTCCACCAATGTGTATTATAGAATTTATTGGTTTACCAAAAAATATTAGAGTAATTGATTAATTCGTAAAAATAAATCTGCTTTGTATGATAAGGATTAAAGAAAGACAAACTGAAATTAAGAAAGAAAAGTATGTGTGTGTGCGTGTGTGTGTGTGTGTGTGTGAGCGTGCGTGCGTGCTTGTGTGTGTGAAGAAGGTGGGAATAATTTTTCCACATATCAATCGGCAACTCGATCCCACTTCGACTCCGCCTATCGCATGGAAAGAAGCAGAGTCACAATAGGCTTAACAAGAAATACATGAGTATGACGATGCACTGCATCCTGGTTTTTCCAAATTTAATTCAATCCACATTTCCGTTAAGACCTGATTTGACAAGCCGAAAATGACTCAGACACATAGATCCGGGTTACAACAGTATATAAAAACTAAGGTCAATACGGCTTCACCAGTATAGGAGTTTCATGCACTGTTTTCAACGCATCAAAATGTGGAAGGCACTGTTTGTATTAGCATTGTTATTTGTTGAGGCTTCATTAGGTAAGTTCCCAATCGATGCATTCTTTTGAAAAATCAATTTTATCGGTACGAAAACTATCTTTAAAATAGAGGGAATCGGCCTTTAGCCGAATCAAAGTCAGTTATCAATTTTGATGTCAAGTTGAAGGTCGGAAACTTGCACGTACATATAAGTCAGGAATCTAATTCTTATTTTAAAATGCTATCATAATGATATTCTCATACCATGAATGGGAATGGTAAAATTAAGTTTGAGATTTTTGCGAGCAATTTCGAAAAAAAGTCTTGAGATTTGAGAGATTTACCAAACTTTCCAAACAATCATTTCAGGTCTTACGGGGTTCCGCAGTGAACAAGCTGTTGCAGATGCATTTCAAAGAGGATTTTTATCAAAGTTTTTACCAACAACAAGCACATCGCGGTCTGGCTGTCTTGGGCTTGGCTGCAAGAACGGTAGTAAAGTAGGCAGGAATGGTGGCGCTGTACCCAAGATAGACCTGATATTTGTCCTCGACAGCAGCGGTAGTGTTCGACAAGAAAACTTCACCGTGGGCAAAGACATGATGAAGGTGAGTTTAATTTGCAGTTAGAATTGAAACATAACACGGAGGAAGTTAGGTGACTGCGAAATAAATTGCCACTTGATTTAGATAAGGTGCAATTAAAATCTTTACATTGGACTGGGATTGACTTGTTGCGTGCGGAAGCGGTTACAGGCGCCTTTCATCCGCATCCGGGTACGAACGGTGCATGATTAGCAAGTGTGGATACACGTAGGCTGTCCTTAATTATGCTGTTGAGAATAATTAATTTTCAATACCGACGTTTGTGTTCATAGTGTAATGCAATATATAACAGGATTCCACTTCCCCAACGACAAAATTTTGTCTAAAAAAAGGCTCGAGGCAGTAACGAACGAACAACAAAAAAGTCTATATATGTTTCTTTTCTTCTTCTCTAAGCTTTAAATTTCTTTCAAGTACAGCTTATTTTTTGTTTTATAATCATCATAATTATTTTTTATTCGATTTCCAGGAAATCGTAGACTTTGTGGACCAACAGGCACCAATCTCTAGCACAGGATCAAGAATTGCCTGTGTGAGCTTTTCTTCCCCTGCCCTTACCCGCACCCAGTTCACCTTCACGGCCAATAGCAATCCTGCAGCCGTCAAGACGGCAATCGACGGCATCAAATTTGACAACGGTATGTGTGCCATAAGTAAAGAAAGATCTTACCCCTTGGCAGAGGGGGGGGGGGCAAATATTTCTCCATATCGCTGAGTGTTTTATTTCAGTCATTTTTCTCAGCCTGACGTCACCTGTTTCGCTGTTTTAGCAAAAATCGTTCTTTTTGCAAAGCAATGCTACCAACATTCTCAACTTGAACATCAAAACAGCTGCGCTCAGCACAGCTAATGCATTTCTCTTCCGAACACTTGTCCCAAATCCTAGCGTGCAGACTCGTTATTTATCCTGTTTTTCTTCTTATGTTTCAACAGGTCCAAGTACAGCAACGGGCGTGGGTCTTGAAAAAGCTAAAACCGTCTTGGATGCTGCTTCGGGTGCTGGACGCGTGCCTTTATTATGGATACTGACAGATGGCAATAAAAATAGCGGGAAAGATCCCGTCCCAGTGGCTAACGCGCTCAAGGTTAATAGTGGTAAGATTAATAGGTCACATTGGCGCGTGGAAAGGGGAGTGATCGAGTTTATCAATTTTCATTATCCCCTGATAAAATTAATTCATTCTATTTTCGACAATTTTGCATATTTTGCATGGAGTGTTTTAATGAAATCTTAATGTATAAAATTAAAATAATATAAACTTTTATTTTATTATATTAGGTGTAGAGATATTTGGCAGTCCTATCGGCCCTAGGATAAATCTCGCGAGCATCGAGGCCTTGGTTTCGACTCCAATTCCCGACCACATATTCGAAGCCCAGTCCTTCGCTGCTGCTAGAAGAATTGCCAACAGGGCCTTCACTAGTTTTAGGAACGCACATGGGCTTCCCTCACCTACACAGGGACCACCGACATTACCACCAAATTTCTTTGCCAACTTATTGAGGAACAGGCTCAGAAAAATTGGAAAATAAGCGTAACAGTCCGAACGTAAATGGTCTAAATCCGGTTTTGTTATGAACTTGAGTGCATACTATGCATTTAACAACACGGAACTTAGTCATTTTCAAATTACGAAATATTCATATATGATCTTCTTCCAACAAGGTGAACTGTTGAAATAATTTTTATTCACCTCCGTATATATATTTAAGTATTGTCATATTGTTAATGTGCTTTGGAAATGTGAGCCATAAAGACGTGGCACACACATTGATTGTCCTACAGCTGAACCAAAGACTGAAGAAGGCTTGTAACTTCAAATTCCACCTAGAGCATTTAAGAAAAGAATTAAACATTCCCCTTACAGCTTAACTGATCACTGCTACTTAAATACCTTAAGGTCTGAATCTTATAGAAAAATATCTAATCTGAATGCATAATTTAAAAACCGAAGACTCTAGATTAAGCTCTTCTTTCACACATAATTTGACTGTGAATTTGTTCTGTATTTTGTAAAATGCGTTCTTTCGTTGATATTTGTTGATGTTTTTTATGTTAAAATGTGATGTCAATAAACTGCATTTTTGCAATATCCACTAAAGACTTTGTAGTAGTCAAATTTGAAAAAAAAAACAAAAAAACACAGCTTTAGGGAAAATAGAATGTCAATGCAGAACGCACTGCATGCAACGTAGTACCTCTGACAAGGTTTTTATTTAATTTTGCGAGTTAAGATAAACAGTTTTAACTATTCAGAACAGTTAACACAATTTTTTAACATTTCTGATTGAATTTATTTTCAATCGAGAAAAGATACTTTCAATTTGCAATTTTATTAGCAAACAAATTTATCAATCTGTTGGTTTATCGCTGCACCGTCGCCTTTCGCTCACAACGTTTTCCGTATTTCTACAGATTTCTGTGCTATGACACTGTAACACTTTCTTTCTATATCACTGCTGTTCATTTGAAGCGAAATCGCAAAAGTTTAAGTAGACAACCTAATCGTTCAGCTTGTACCTCTCACTGGCTTCCGATGCCAAATCTATACGATTTGAATCACTGTCGCGTTTGTATAACTTGCGTTTATCCGTTTTTATGTTATCTTTCTCATTTCCTTTCTTGCCACTCCATTTCTGTATTGGACGATTTTTCTTATCATTTGGTTTGGTGATTCGGTAGATATATAACGATCGCTTTTCGTGACCTCATTTCAAAGTTTTTATTATAAATATCTCACGGAAAATTGTAATGAATATATTTCATGCTTGTAGTACTATCATTTCCTCTGGTTTTACATGTAGCTATCATAAATATTTAACGGTTACTCTAATGAGCATATTTCATGCATGAATGGTTTACTTTCAGTTCTTTTGGTTTCAACAAAAAGTGTTACATCAAATCAATATGTGCGTGTAAGCCAGCACAACGCTCTTTCTTAAAACTCACGATTATATTTATATTTTTGGTTTTATCTGCCAAGGTCATTTTGCAAGGTCCAATTTTGGCAAATCTCACCAGAAACCAATTGTGCATGCTCGTGACGAAAATCTGTTTAAGTTTGGCAGCCTTTAAACCTAGTTTACGGATGTTTATTTCACCATATTATCATTACTGATGTATTTTTTTACGCACGCTTATGTGAAAGTGATCATAATATAAAATAAAATAAAATAAGATATATCAATTGGCGCATCAAGTTTCTCTTCACTTACCGAATCATCCTTGTGCAGAGATAATACAAAATATTAACAGTACTAAATGACAGTCCTTGTTATTTTTTGTTTATTATACGAGGCATTACATACGCACATGTACAATACGCATCTATATGTAACATGTTGTTGATGTGAAAAATCTGTATACAGTATCCAGGCCTAACCAACTACCAGACTCGGCACCTACAGATCCAGAATAAACCGGTATATCAGACCACACTACCCGTTTTCAAGCTGTGTGTCAGATCGCATTACAGAGTATCAGCCACCACACCGATTTTGCCTGGTGCGCGATGTGATAGCGATGAACGTAGTAATAGATAGACCCCAAGTCAGCGAGGGTTATGTGGCATACACGAGTGCGAAGCACGAGTGGATGTCACATAACCCTCGCTGACGAGGGATCTATCTTATTTAGACCACGGGTCCATTAGCGGGTTATAACGCATTCATGCGAGACGTGCGGTTATGCAAGTTACACCACGTCTGAATCTTTTGTTCTTCACTTCCACCGTGGTCTAAAGCGGGGTTGGAAAGTAGTGCATCTCATCTAGATTCATGCGCTGCTGCAATTTTCCCTGTTTATGCTAAAAATCTGACAATACCGCAATTTTTAACATAACCAATGATGTTTTGTAAATAAGAACTTGCAAACTTATATATTCATTTAGAAAAGAAGACCTAATTTTGATAGCGGAAGCATATTCTGTCGGGGGTTAAATATTTTCTGGACGAGATTCAGTGAGTCGTCTGTCGCCATGTTGTCACTCGGAACTNAGCCAATGATGTTTTGTAAATAAGAACTTGCAAACTTATATATTCATTTAGAAAAGAAGACCTAATTTTGATAGCGGAAGCATATTCTGTCGGGGGTTAAATATTTTCTGGACGAGATTCAGTGAGTCGTCTGTCGCCATGTTGTCACTTGGAACTACTCCGATGTCTCCGCACTCGACAATAGTATGGAGCTTGCGGAATGAGCCGAGGATTGCCGATTTCCATGTTGTTGTATTCATACGACTCCTACTTGACGAAAACGAGGCGCGATACCCGGATGACAGGTAGGCTTACAAAATTTGTGATGGGGTATGATACTCTGTAATGCGATCTGACACACACCTTGAAAACGGGTAGTGTGGTCTGATATACCGGTTTATACTGGATCCGTAGGTGCCGAGTCTGGTAGTTGGGTAGGCCTGGTATCGGTCTGTTTTTTAGTGTTCCCGAATCATAGGAAGCATGTACAAAGTGTTGCCAAATTTTGTTTCTCTTTACACAAGTGCTTCGGCAATTATTGGAAGTATTCCCTCGGCTACACGCGATGCAATCCAAATATATACGTGACCAGAGGAGTTGTACGATGAGAACTTACGTGTGCACTACTACACGCTTATCAGATCCTTTTTGGGTTTCTATAGTGCATCAGAGCGGGAGCGTAAATAGCGAAAGCTTCCAGTCACAAAAATCACAACATGCATAGAAGGGAAAAATCAGTCCCCGATTTCGCAAGGGATTAAATTCTCTTCCGTTATTGGCTTGGTAAATCGATAAACTGGATCAATACCCTTTGCAAGTCTCCCATTTTGCCTGCGATAATAAGGTTGAATGGAAACAGCCTTTTAACAGCATTTGCTTTACTTAAAATACCATCTTACATCACGAATCATTTCACGTGATATGAATATTGACTCTTGTGGTGATTAAATATGTGTAAAAATATTAGCAAGACCAACACTCTCCTTGCATAGTGTACATGACTGAGTATACGAAGACTACCATGCTTATCACTGCGATAACCGAATGACTAATGCATTTTTATGAAGAGCACTGTCACCTAAGCATAAGCCTCCACGTTAATATTGAAGATACCATGTTGTTATGAAATCTAATATTGCACTGCATATGTGTCAACATTACATTAAAGAGATTTTCGTCTATCCAACAGTTAATATCGACATCATCGGAATCAGCTGAATTTTATCACTAACGCAGACGATGTTATAACTGATAATGGGCATTTGAGTGGTTTCCCCATCTTAGGTTGGTTCACGTATGAATAACTACATGAAGTCTGTACCTTACAATGCAAAGTCCAAAGATGAGAACAGTTCGTAATTAGCAATTGTTGCCATGGCTACATTACATTTTGTAAATTTCTTCATGTTGTTGCCTCTAGAAGGGCAGGAAAAAAGCTGAGAAATCGATTATTTTGCATTCCCATCGAATCTCTTTTATTTTGAATGTCAAATGTTTTACGTTTGTACAGATGAATCGTAAATTGACAGTGAAAGCAATTTTTGACATGTAGCCTCACGCAATTTCTGCAAATTATATTTTCTTTCAAATGGGCCATTCTAATGACAAATGAGATTTTTTTCATTACGAACCATTTGGAAAGAATAATAAAACAATTTAAAGACTGGCACACGGCATATTTCTACCAAAATCATGGTAAATCCAGATATTAATTAGGAAATAAATTTGAAACATTTTTGTTTAGAGTTAACTTAACATGCAGCTCGTTAGTTTAAAGCAGCGTTGGCAGGAGGGAGGAAAAATAATGAGAAATCCTGCATACATTCAATAGACTTTAATTATCACCGAGTTCTCTTTAAAGGGCACTCACAAAAGCCGGGACTTGTAGTTCCTTAACACAATCATGGAAACAATATCTGGGTTCAAAACCTCTACAGACAGAGATAACGCCATTACATACGTGTCTGCAGCCCATGCCACTCTAGAGTATTGGCGTCACCATGACGAACGCAACGAGCCCCTTTATTTCACTTTTAAACCAAATCTGAGAGGATTCAATGTAGGTGTATAATTTATGACAAAGCTTTAACACTTAATAAAAAGTAGCCACAGCAGACTACTGAAAAATAATGTCTAACTTTCCTTCTTAAAGAGATTTCAACTGAGATTCATCACAGCTGCTTGGTACTGTAGTTGCAAGAGGCAGCTGCAACAGACTTACAAGCGAGCCCAGTTTCAAATCATCCTCTTCTGGCTACTATTTGAAGACGACTGGAAACTGACTAGGCTTCATCTCTCTCTCTCTCTCTCTCTCTCTCTCTCTCTCTGTGTGTGTGTGTGTGTGTGTGTGTGTGTGTGCGTGCGTGTGTATGCATACCAAAACCCGTTAAGTCGAATTCACAAAAGAAAT